GGATCATCAAGTTAATATGCACACATGGCACCTACATGGTTTTTTTTTATTCTTTTTCTTTTTTATTCCTTATCTTTATTCTCCCTCCCTCGAATATGGATCCTCTCCATTAATCGGAGAGTTCCATTATGAGAGAGATAGAGAGGAGAAAATGAAGGATGATGTATGTTGGTGAATAGGATAGAGAAAAATGCAGAGAAAGATATGAAGTTAAAAGGAAATGGAGGGAAAACGGAGAGAGAAATGGAGAGAAACTGCACCCCACCCTCACCCACGTTGTGCATAAAATATGCCCTTTGACAAAGGTGTATACATAGACGAGTATATTCCGTATAAGACAAAGGTGTATGAGTAGAAAGAATAATACTCCACTAGGTAGAAGATTAGAAGTAGAGAGATGAAGGTATAGAAAATTATTGAAATTTAATGGGGTTTTATAATTTTTGTAGGCTCCCCTTCCCCAAACCCCTAAATTAGTCAGCAAACCCCCAAACAAAACCGTCGACCATTTGAGATCGGATTGAGTCCGAGACCGACCAATGCCGGCTCCAAAAAAACACGTTAGGGACCAAGGGGGTGTTTGGAACCGCTTTTAGAAACTGATTTTGTTGACTAAAGGAGCACTTTGAAGCGGAATCAGTTTTGAAGGTGTTTGGATCTGATTTTAAAAGTGCTTTTAAATGGCTGAAAAATCAGATTTTTAGAATCTGGGGAGTAACAACTTCTCCAAAACAGCTTCTGATTCTTCTAATTTTATTCCGTAAAACCCCCCTAAGCCCAAGTCAGCGACAAACCCTTTAGGCATTCTCTACCCTCCAGAGCTTCTCTTCTCCATCGTCTCTGTGCGACAAACCCTTTAGGCCGATGCTTGGGGTTCTCATGCGAGAGCTTCTCCGGCAATCGTCTCCAGACGACGCAACCCTTTGGGTCGAGGCTTGGCTTCTCTAGCGACGGTTTCTCCAACCTTCATCTCTCGGCTTCAATTTCAAGGTAAACTATTCAAATTATTGTGTTGGTCTTTCATCTTGTTTTTGCAAATAATTTCTTTGGTTTAGTAATAACTAATAAGCATATGATTTTCACTTGAGCGTAGCAAAACTGGGAACAACATTCAATTCCATAAGTGTATGGAATTTTCACAGCAGCAATAGTTTCCTTTTGGTAAATTTACACAAAAATCAATTTGCAAAAGTATCTCATCCAAACACTCAAAACTGATTCTCTATTACATAGAGCAGAATCAATATCAAACACTTCAGACAGAATCACTCTTTTATACAGCAGAAAATTCTGATTCTGATTCTCACTTAAAAATAGAAGCAGAAGCAGAATCAGTTACAAACACCCAAGTGATGTAATCCGAAAAATCAATCCCAGGTCGGTCACAAAAAGTTTTGTTCCTGATTGTGGTCTGATCGGGAGTGGCAGACCGGATTCATGCCTGGTATGGTTAGTGAATTGATTAATTAAAATAATAATAATAATAATAATAATAATACCACAACCCCATGTTACCAAATTGATTGAGTGATGAATACGGTACACTCCGTAAATTTTATGTGGCTAGGAAAACATCGAACCCACCACCGCCTCATTCCCCGCCCTTAAATATCCGGCCTGCTTTCCACATTCTATCTCGTATACCGCAATCCGCAGGTCACCGAACAAAGCTTCCGCCTTGTACGCTCTGAGGTTGGTGTTTCTCCCCCCCTTCACAGATGTTACTTTTAATTTTAATTTCCGATCAATACACTTCTCTTATTATATTCTTCAGGTTCGATCTTTCCTTCGTTGATTGTGATACTAGCAATTGTTTGTTCCCATTTATCTAACTCGAATAGATTCCACACAATTTTGCGTGAGAAGGGTTCCCCCTTTCCAATTTCAATTTCTGGCGTCAATATATATATATATTCTAAATTATTTGATCTGTTGAAATTCTATCATGATCGTCGCGTTCTGATTTGATTACGGATTCAAATTGTTTTAATGACGCATATACGTGGGTTGGGGTTTTTCTCATGGCGGTGTGTGTGATACATATACGTGGATTTGTGCAGAGATCGATCTGTGCTTCCCGATAGAAGCGAGAAAAGTAACTCAAAACAAAATTACATGGTTGATATCGTGGAGGCTCAGATCCCAACAGCTTTTGATCCCTTCGCGGAAGCCAAGGAGGATTCAGGCGCCCCTGGAGCGAAAGAGTATGTGCATATACGAATCCAACAGAGGAATGGAAAGAAGAGCCTGACCACGGTGCAAGGGCTGAAAAAGGAGTTCAGCTACAGCAAGATCCTCAAAGACCTCAAGAGAGAGTTCTGTTGCAACGGCACCATCGTGGAGGATAAGGAGCTCGGCAAGGTCATCCAGCTCCAGGGCGATCAGCGCAAAAACGTCTCTCATTTCCTCGTCACTGCTGGGCTCCTCAAGAAGGAGCAGATTAAGATCCATGGTTTTTAAGCCGCCACCCCTTTGCCGGACTGCTTGATTTTGTCGTCCTTGTTTTTGTGTGACAGATTCCATACCAGCTATTATATTACTTACTACTCGTATCGTAGCTGTTTAATTGTTTGTTTGAGTGATTCTGGCTGTGCTTCATCAACATTTCATGCCCATGTCATGGTGAATTGGATTTGTAATCGCATGCTTTCTTCCTGTTCCAGTAATAAATGCGCCTTTCCTATGACTCCTTCACTTCTTCTTTGCTCCCCTAATGTTTATATATGCACACCCACGGCTATAATGTTGCTGTCACCATTGAAGGCTGTGTACGCGGTAAAAGTTGTATATAAAGTTGCAACTTTTTTTAAATACTCGTAATATTTTGTCAATAACACAATTTAAACGTTCTGATGGGAGGTAAGACAACATCTTTTATGTAACAGATACTTCTCTTTTTAGAACTTATATGGTTTGTGTTTGATATGCTTATCATGTAAATTGAACAAAGTGAATTTTCTGGTCTGATTTAAACAAAATAACATGCTTAAACAAATCAGATCAGAAAATTCACTTTGTTCAATTTACGGGTAAACCTTTAGCACCTACAGAGTTGTCTGTGTAACCTATATCAGACGGGTCCTAGTCCATAGCCATACAGACAGAGAGAGCATTCCTTGTTTCAATTTGCATTTCAAGTTCTCCCAAAATAGCTAAAGATTGTTTCCATGAGAACTGAATGAGTTCTTTTTCCGTAGTAAATAGAGAGAGTGGCGTTTTCCCCCCTTTTCAATAAATCTCAAGTGCTTCATATAGTAATGATGTAAAGTTCCCAACGTTCGAATAACTTGTAAAGTTCTCATAGAGTCATAGGTGCAATGGTGTTACTTTCCATCGAGATTATTAATAAAACTCTTTTTCCCAAAAAAAGCACAGGCGCAACTGCACAAGAGTCGTCAAGACAATGTATAATAATCATGAAAGAGATCGAGGTTTTATGTGCAAACTTATCATAGAGTGTTATGTTACAACAAAAATTGTTAGCAGTTTATGAAGCAAAGATCATAAGCAAATGCATCAAGGACTTGCGATTGATGTAATGTGCCAAATGCTAGTGGAAGTGTGAATCAAAAGAATCGTGTTTGATGAAAGGCAACTCTAAACTATTCTTTGACACATGAATTACAATCAAGTCATTACCAGCGGTCTTAAGTATGTCCATGAATGAATTGTAGAGACTATTGAAAGAAAGCATAGTCATATTAAAACTAAACCATTACTGGCTAATGGTAACAAAGTGAAAAGAATGAAATTGGGTACGCAACAACTAAAAGCAAGCTCGATTCCAAATTAGCCATATTTTAATGATTTTTATCATGCCACCCATATTGATTAGAGTAGCATTCTAACAAAGCATTTATTTAGGCCTACAAGAATGCAAACCAGCTGAAAGGAAAGTCAAAAATTAAATATGCAGGAGTTAATGGTTCATACGTATCACAACATCAGTAATGATAATTCTAGAGCAGACACTGATCTAGACATTGGACAACATTTCGTTTCCCTGAATGTTCATCTTGATGAGACCACATTTCCATTTGCTCCTAAACTTTCCACACTATACCAGGTGGAACTGTGGCAAAATTACGGCAAACAAATGAGTTGTCATCAGAAGTTTGGAACCATGGAGATGCCTCCAACCAGGCGGACATATCACCCGGGCCACCCGTGACAGCAACACTGACTTCATGGAAGACACCTCCGCTCAATATAATGAATCAATGATGATGACGACACTATGGATAACCCAATTGATACCTCATGTCCTGAACGGCTTCTTCGATGGTCTGCTCAAGGAAGAGTCTTCAATACTATGTCTGGACATATTTCATTTAACTAAACCCCACGGCCCTGCAACATCTCCATCATATGCTATGATTTATTTAAATATCATTTTGAGATATTTATACACTCATTTTATCTATATATTTCTATGATATAAAAACTACGAGATTCAAAATCTAGATAAAATTCCAAAAGGATTTAGACAAATTTTATCTTCCAAGGTACAGCAGAATATTCAAAGTTCTGTTCCTTGATGTTCTGTGTTTGAAACAGTTTTACATTTTTTCTAGTTGTAATGAATGCCTCATTGAAAAATTTCGTGTGTGATAAATTTCTTAAAGACAGATAAAAAGGCTGATATTGTCCCTTTTAATGGAAGGCATAGATATTTTAGTCAGAAAACGTATTGTCCCCTTCTCATGAGTAGCTAGCTATACCTATCTTCCGATCCTATGTGCGGGATCTCACTTTTGACTACCATGGATAATTGGATATACATACATATATACAGGAAGGTCTTGCTATGATTGATGATGGACACCACCATGGCAGATGACCATATTGGTTTCCCTGTGTGTCACCCATCTCGTTCTATTCAGGAGCTGATTGAGCTTCAGGAACAGCACATTTTTATGAGTGCAAAAACTATGTTAACCCCATCTTCCATCCAGCAAGTATGTACTACTAGTATGCTAAGATTATGAATTAGGGCTGTTGCAGGATGTAAAATGTACAATATGTATCGCTGATTATTCTCTTAGGAAACAAATAAGGATTTGTGTAATTTACACTGAAAACATATTTGATTACATCACATTACGCATTCCATTGCTAGCTACTTATCAAACATTGCACAAGGCTCTTAATTGTTTCTGGATCTTCCATTGTGTATAGACCTTAAGCAAGGAGCTAGATCCCTACCCCTGTTGTTGTTGTTGTTGTTGTTGTTGTGTCCATTCAGAACCAGGTTCGCACCAGGACCGCGGTTTAACTCCGAGCTTGAAAAAGAGAATGAGCTCTAATGCCTCAAACACTTTGAACTCATTCAAAAGCTCATTCCACACTCCACTAACAATACAGTAATTGGTATTATAGGGCGGGCGGTGGTGGTCCGCGTGCTGTGACCGGGAAACGAGCACTCCAGCATCTTGGAGCGCCACGACAATGGGCGGGAGTCTGCTTTTTGTGCCGTGAGCCCAAGCGTGGAACTGCTGGCTGAACATAATGCAGCCGGAGCTGACTCCTACAAAGACGCTGAGAATCGGGTGGCCATTGTAGATCAAGAGGTCAATTGGCAGAACAATGAATGTGACAGCTCTGGCCAGGGCGTGCAGATTATTGGCGAACTCCCGCCGCGTGATCGTCCACGGCCACTGATGGTGCCCCTGAAACGCTTCTATTTGGTTTCCGAAAACCGGAGTGTGGGTGGAGCCGTAGTTGTCGATGCCCCAGTGGTAGACACCGGAGCCGAGGTCCGCCAGAACGTAGCCGATGTATCCGGCCAAAAGGGGCTGGAGCCAGGCATGTGAAGCAGCTGCGACCGCAACGCCTTTGGCTAGAGAGATGAGCACCGTGGTGCAGCCGCACGCCACCCAGGCTCGGTGAGACCGTGTTGACTTCAAGCTGCCGGGCTCACCGACCAAAGTTTTAGTAGTGGTTGAAAGTGTTGGCGCCGTGGCTGTTGGGCGGCAGGCCCGCAAAGAGAAGGTGGTCGAACGGCGACAGGAGGACTTGCAGCGGCGAGTTTGTGGCAGGCGGCGCAAGGACCCGACGTTTTGTTGAGGTAAAGAGGAGGAGGACATTGGTGTGAAGAAGAGAAGAGCTGCTACCAAAACTCGCAGTGGGTGGATCTCTGTGTGAAGAGAATTAGTTATCGGGGTGGACAGATAGATGGATACATCTAAGGTCCAACTTGCCCGGTGACGTGTTTCAACTCCCCTCATATATTCATGTATTTCTTCTCCATTGTTTCTGTCTTTTTCATCTGACCCAGGTAACAGAATTATCTACTACTCCCCTAAGTTTGGGACAAAGAAGCATGATTTGCTTTTGAAAAAACAAATGATATATGATGTGCATTGATATTAAATTGTGTGGTTGATACTGAAATGATAATAGATGAATGAAGAACGATATATAATGTGTGGTTGATATTAAATTGTAGCTACTTAAATATTATCAAATATGATACGAGACAAACTTAATATGACAAACGAAAAAGTTAAATGTGACAAAGTTAGGGGGTGAGGGAGTAGTATTCTGTTTTTGAATATAAAGGATCAACTTTTATACTAAAATCGAGAAAGATACAAGATAACATCCAAACAATTATGACAAATCTGATTGTGAGTCCTGATAATAGATTTAGAATCAGTCACTTCATACAAAGTAACCTCATTCGCTAGACACAAAACATGCAATTTAAAGCCTAAAACAATCGGGGCTGAAATACTATCTATCAAACGTACACCATAAGTCCAAATTTCCGAATTAAAACCAACTGAAACCAAAATAAAACAAGTATTACTAATGGACTAATAGAATTGAAATAAGGTCTTTCCAAAAAATCTTCATGGCACGAAGGTGATTCTGGAGGAGGACGGACTCTACCGATGTATACACACTCTAAAAGAGAATTGTCTACTATATTACCCGAAAGAGAATTGTCTACTATATTGTTACAAATAATAATATAATGTTTTAAATTCCCTAATAGGATTAATTATGTATATTTGGATAAATATATTTCTGTAGTTTTTTGGAATAAAATAAATATTTAATGAAATTAATAAAAAAACTAGAAAAATAAAAAATAAAAAATAAAATAAAAAAATAAAAAACGTAAAAAAAACCTCTGCCTCTGCCACCACCAGCTCTGATCACCGGAGAAAAACTTCCAACATTCATTAGTTATGCCATATTTGTGACAATTACAACAAAAATTTTGACATTATCAAGAGTAATAATGCAATTTTCTTGGGATTTTCAGAAAAGTGACATTTTAAAACAAAATATGATTTTTTTTTTACAAGAAATGACATTTATTTCATCGATCGGAGGTGTTGGTATTGGGAGGCGGTAGAGACGGTGAGAAGGCATCCATTGTTTTTATTATTTTTATGGTTTTTTTTACTATTCTTTATTATTATTATTATTATTATTATTATTTTTAAATTTTATTTTATAAATATTTTATTAATTATAATTATTTTTTACTTTTTATTACATTAAACAATTTTATTATGAATTAGAAGATTTCATTAAGAATTAATATTCTTAGGGGTATTTAGAGTAAAAAATTAATGTTTAATTCTATTTATGAATATTTTAGGATTTTAGTACTATTTGTGATTTTATGCAAATTTTAGTCCTATTAAGAACAATTTACTAATGCGGTTAATACTCATCGCAAGCACACCCACCATCTACGAGTTGTATCTTCTCTCCTTCCCACAAATTGGTAAAAGTGGAGTAGTTTGAACGGTTGTTGGAGGAGTTATTGGACCGAGATACGTCCAATATCTTATCCGGCCTCTGTCCCATTAGAAAATTCGCACTTTTCTTTTTGGACGTTCCATATAAAGGTTCTCGTTTCCATTTTATGAAACAATTAACAATCTTAAATCGTAGTTATCAATACTAACTACATTATAATTGATGGAGTATATGGGCCTGGACCCCAGGACCCACATACTCAAGAGAACAGAAGGCACAGCTGTCACCTAGTGGAACCCTCATCGGCCGAAACGAAGTCAACCCAGAATATGATCCGGGAGCCAGGAGAACTGGGTGACCTCGTCGGCCGGGTCTTCGTCGGCCATGCACTCATCGGCCAGACCCTTGTCGGCCATAAAGGCCTCCCAGGACAGGATTTTGCACTTAATCATTTGTATACTCTACCATTTACTTTGTATTCGGCCCAATAGCGGTCCAGTTGTAGACGGGCCTCTCAAGCCCAAGACTTGAGAGCCTAGTCCTAATTTTTCCTATAAATACTCCCTTTGGGAGTAGTTGTGGGGGTTCTGAAATTCATTAATACAAAGCTCTCTAGCTCTCACCTCTCTCTAGATTTACTCTATCACCTCTCTCTAGATTTACTCTATCATTTGGTGCTCTCGTTGAGAGCTAGAACAATCGAGTTAGCCCCCTTCGTCGCTACCAAGCACAGCTAACTGACAATGGGAAGAACCAAGTCAAACCGCAACCTCCTCGGCAAGGCCATCCCTGAGGCCCAAGAGAACTAGGAGCACGAGGAGGACGCCACGGTCGACAAGACCGCCGAGGGGGATGTCTTCCAGGAAGCCATCGACCTCGCAGGGGACCTGCGCAACAAGCTCAACGGCAGCGCCCCTGATGCCCGCCTCGGCCTGGACAAGAAGCGCGCGGATAAAGCCGACCATGCCTCGGCGCAACCGGCCTCTCCTGCTGTTGATCCTCAGCTTCAGGTCGCGCTCTCGGCCATCATCGCCAGCTTGGCCCAAAACCCCACCGTCCTCAGCGCACTCATGCCAAGGACGAGGGAGAACACGACGCCGCCTCCTCAACCCCAGCCGTTGGCCGTTAGGCTAGGCAACGATGATGGGGGTGGTGCCCCAGGACACGACATCGTCCCATTCCCACGCTGCTTCCCCACTTCGGGCTGGACCGACCCCAGCTCATGGAAAAGCCTCAGCTTTTAACAGGCTAGGTGACACGTGCCGTCGGCCTGCTTCGGAGAGGATGGCGGGGCGGATTGGGCGGCGTGAACCCGGCTCACCCAGGGAAAGCTTGGGGTCGGTATCCCAGACAGCGGATCGGCCCCGCCTGGACAAAGGCAAGGGGAAACTGCATGAGGATGATGCCCGTCACCAAATCAACACGGCTCACGCAACCCGCTTGCAGACGCAGGGCGCCACCACGGCCGCCAGGGACCCCAGGGACGAGATGATCGCCCAACTCGAGTGAAGCCTCGCCCAGATGGAAGCCAAGCAGCTGGCCGCCACGCCCACTGGCAACTCAGCCAGAGATCCTAGCTTCAACGCCCTTCTGAACAAGGTCACTATCCTTGAGAGGGAGTTGGCCGAAGGATGAGGGGACCCCATCATCCAGGTCAGGACGAGGACCCCCTTCACCACCAGGGTACTCTCGGCCCCTATCCCCGAGAAGTACCGGGAAACGCCATCAAGCCCTATGACGCCCGCTCCGACCCCCAGGAGCACTTCAGCCACTACCAGAACAACATGCTGATGGTGAACACGTCAGATGAATACCTCTGCCGCTGGTTCCTCTCCACCCTTGAGGGGCCAGCGTATGAGTGGTTCAACGCGCTTCCCGAAGGAAGCATAGACTCATGGCAGGATCTTGCCCAACGCTTCCTCACCCACTTTGCCAGGAGGAAGCGTGCAAAGAAGTATTTCACCCACCTACTCTCCGTCAAGCAGCAACACGACGAGTCTCTCCGATCATTCATAGATCGGTGGACGAAGGAGACCGAGGAGGTAGAGGGGGCCGACGAGCGCACCCTCCTCGTCCTCTATCAGGGAGCTCTCCGCAGCACCCCATATGCAAGGAGCCTCATCACGGACCCCCCAAGGTCATATGCAAAGGCACTCCAGCGGGGGAGTTTATACGCCGACGCCGACGAGCTCCTCAGCCACAAGAAGGACGGCGGGCACCCCTCGAAGAAGACAAATCCTTCACCGGCCATGGGCATGCCCTCGACCGGTCAGGGTGGCCAGAGCCGCCACGGCTCTGGCGGACAGAGCAAGAAAGACCGCCATTGGCGGCCGAGGATGGAACGACCGAAGATCCCACTCACGCACCCGGTCAGCACCATCCTCGATTACGCCGAGGAGCACGATCTCATTGAGCGTGACCCTCGGCCAACAGTGGAGATTCATGCCATCCACCAGGGCGGCACTTACAGTCGGTTCCATAAGAACATCTCCCACAACACCGACGACTGCATCACGCTGAAAAAAGCCATCGAGCGCCTGATTCGGCAGGGGGAACTCTCCCAATTTGTTAAAGGTGGCCCGCGCAAAAATACGTGGGTAAACACCAACAAACCTGGGGGCGAACACTCTACGAAAAAGCGGGAGATCGGTAAGCTCAGCGATGACGAGGAGGACTTTGAGGAGCCTCTGACGAAGAAGAACCACATTCACCTCATCGTAGGTGGGAACACTGGGGGGGACTCCGTCACCCAGAGGAAGAAATGGGCCCAATCCCTCTACATTGGGGAAGTGTCCCACGTTCCCCCCCAACCGAAGAAGCAACGGACGGAGGCGATCATCTTCACCTACAAGGATCTGCCTCCGGGGCCCGCATCACACAGGGACGCCCTCGTCATCCGGTGTGAGATTGGTGATTCTATCATCCACCGAACTTACGTCGATACGGGGAGCTCCGTCAATGTCATGTACCTGGACACCTTCAAGCAGCTGAAGTTGAACAAAGCTTTTCTCCAGCCAATCAAGACACCGTTGTCCGGCTTCACCGGGGACTCTATCGACGCCAAAGGCACGATAGTCCTCCCCGTGGAAGTCGGCTACAGCCCCCATCGCGCCAAAATTGATATGGAGTTCATGGTGGTCAACCTTCAGTGCGCCCATAACCTGATCTGGGGGCGGCCAGCACTGGAGGACCTGGATGCCATCATCTCCATGAAACATTTATTCCTAAAGTTCCCCACCAGTGGCGGCATCGGCTACGCCAGGGGGAACCAGAGGATAGTCAGAGCATGCTACCTCAAGCTGACAAAACCGGCCGACAGACGAGACTTCGTCAAGGGGGAGGTCACCATGCTTCTCTCAATCAACCACGTCAAGGAGGTGAAGTACCCGACATGGCTAGCCAACGTCGTCCTTGCCCAGAAGCCGCCAACGTTCAGAATGTGCGTTGATTACACTGACCTGAACAAGGCGTGCCCTATGGACCCGTTCCCTCTCCCCAATATAGATCAGTTGGTGGACGAGACGGCGGGATGCGAGTTGATGTCGTTCCTCGACGCTTTCAGAGGGTACCACCAGATTTTTATGCATGAAGATGACGCCGAGAAGACGGCCTTTATGACCCCAG